TATATATATATATATATATATATATATATATATATATATATATTAATAACATATTAAATGAGAGATTAATAAAAAATAGCAGGGGTTAAAAGTCAAAAATAAGATAATCAAATTACATTTTTCAGTTTTGGTTCTTTGCGAAACCATTTAAAAAATGATCACATTCAATTTAATCCATAGATGTTGCTAATTTTTGAATACATAACTTTTCTAGAAGCATCTAAAACATTGCAGGAAAAGAATTAAAAGTAATGTTTTGTAAAATATTCTGTAGAAAACTTTAGTACTAATTTTTTTTAAATGTTAGCATTAGTTATCGTCAAAAATGAAACAGTGGCAGCAAGGGACAGCTGAAGCAGAATATGACAAATGCATGCGTGCTGCATGCTGCTCGATAATATGCCTGTGAAAATTGGATGTAATTCGCTTTAAACTATTTCAATTTCGGTTACATCCAACTAAGTATCACATTTCAAGTTTAAACCAGAGACATACTTAATTTTATCAATGATTCGAATTCGATAACAAGCCTTATAAGAAGTTTGTTTCATTTTAAAATAAAAATGTTGCATTTGTTTCATACAGCAAATAAATGAAAGTCATGCCTGTATAGCTTAAAGGCTGAAAAAAAATTACTCATCCTAAATGATTTGTTTCAGGCAAGATCGGATATTGATTAGTTCAAAAACTTTAAAAACTTGTCTCATGTCAAGGAATATGCTAACTATGTGTTATACGACTAGGACATTGGCTTACAAAGAAATGTATGCATTTGCTTGCCGTATCTAACTAAACGTACACTGCTTCAACCAAAAAAGTTGCTCTCATAAAATTTCTGGTCTAAATATCAGCTACTGTATGAAATATGATATATTACAATTCATTATCATCAGGTACAAATTGAGATTGAAAGCTCATAACGAAGCAGATAAATACACAAACTTAGTGCAATACTATTGAAAAAAATGAAGTTCTCAGGGATGTCAAATTTTACTTGTAACTTAAAATGTAGGCTTTTCAAATTGAGGATTTGTCATCATTCACAACTTTCATCTTAAAAAATCTACCAGTAAGTGTAATGATGAGTTGAAAAATTTAATGGTTTGAAATTAAAATAACGACTTAACCCACCAATCTTTGCTTCAGTTTGAGCGGCTACTGTTGGATGTCGTTGATATTTGCTTAGTTTCTGATCACTTTGTGTATCAAATGTTGAAAAAGATGATGCATTTGAAAATGATGGACTTTGATTAAGCAAATTTCGCTTTTGAACGAAATCGTCATCAATGTTTTTTGCCACCCTTTTTCGTTCTTTTTTTTTTGCATTTTCTTTTTCTTCCGGTACATCTAATGGAACTGTCTTTTTCGCAATAATTTCTCTGATTTGTCGAACTGACCATGATTCTGTACCTTGGTATGCAGCAGAAAAACGCCGAATCGATAGTGTTCTTGGTTTGGAAGAATAGAAAAACATTTTGTAGAATCAGTTTTAGAATGATTACATTGTAGGTAAATACTGACTTGCAGTTCTGGGAATACACTGTTGAAAATAATCCTTGCTAGTTTTTGTAGTCAATATGAATTCATATTTTGAAATGGACATCTTTTTTGAGTTATTTTAACGCTAGCAATCAAAAATAAAAGATGATTATGAGAAAAGAATGAATAAGAAGCTGGAATTTTGAGATTCAATTAAAGTACATTAAATGTAGTAGTAGGAAAAGATAAGCTTTCAAGCCGGAAGCAGCAAGTATGAGTATATCCAGAAAAGAGCAACTGAAAGATGGGAAATAATTTCAAGATTAGTTGTTCTCATTCTTGAATCGTCCATGATGCAACCACACCAAGTGCTTGCTACTACAACTTCTTCTCATGTGTCAAACAGCTCTTCTTTCCATTTATTTATTCTGCTTTTATCCATGTCTAATTTGCATCTTTTGCATTGCTTTCAATATTACTAACTGAGAGAGAAGGTAAATATATACGTCTTAAATTTGATGCCAAAATGCATATGCTTTCCAATACTAGGTAACCAAAAAGTTGATTACTTGGCTTAAATTTTTGAAAACAAAACGATTTAACCAAGTGCTTTTAAAACAATTTCTTATCAAATGTAATGGGTAATAATTTTGATCAATGGTGAGAGAAAACAAGGGGACATGTTCAAAAACTGCGAACAACTGAAAGAGCGAAAGAAAATACATAATTGTTTGAAAGTGGTAAATCCGGTTTGCACAGTGGAAGGGAGCATTACTATGAAAAAAGCATGAAAATTTTCTGAAGCAGTTGGCAGCTATAGGACGGTTTATAAGTATTCCAGTGAACAGAAAAGCTTGAAGTGCTTTTGATTATTGAAGGAGTTGCATATGAAAAAAAGTAAGATGCTGCACACAAATAAAATAAAGCTAATTTCCTTCTACTTCCTCCAACAAATCATTTGGAACAAATTCTTTTTTAAATATTTCACTGGCCACTTCAGAAATTTTTTTCTTGCAAGGCCGCAACTTTCTCAATGCTATTAACATTATTAAAGTTTGTTTTTGATCCGCAAATTTTTTTAATACTTTTATTTTTTTGCATAAATAATACAAAAATTTTATAAGCTTTATCTTAGTTTATCATGTAACAAAGCTGATCACTAATCCCTGAAAAAAGACAACATCGATGAACGAATACAAAGTCCAATCAAATATACGCAAATTTTAGTCATAATAATGGGAATGACAGAAAAAATTCAATGGAATAACAAATCCAATATAAAATTGGTTACTATTAACATCTTTCTATCTAATTTTCTCTGTTGCAAACAAATTCTTTGAAAGATTTTAATCCATTTCTCCTCTTGCTGATCTTTTTATATGAATGACAAAAACTGAGCCAAGTTGTGCACTTCACTTAATTTTGATGACATTTAATTGTTTCCCTTCTTTTTTATTTCACACACCGACTTTACTAAATATTATCTTCTATGATATTAACATTAAATTATGCTAAAGTTAGCAATATATTATAGATATCCAAAATAACTGGCAAAAGTAAATAGACTATTCACGAATATAGCTTACGGAATCACTAAGAATCATCATTTAATAAACTGTCATATTTACAACTGAACTAAACATTTCGATATTTCAGTTCATGAGTTGATAATACTTAAGTATAACCGAGATATCTCAATTCTTAAAAGATTGGACATAGTGCGTAAGAGACTATTCACGAACTTTGCAGAATCATTATAAAGCATCATTTAGTAAATAAGCTAGGTCTGTAAATGAGCTAATCACATTTATTTACAAATAAACTAAAGGCTTTTGTAGATGAACCAGAAAAACATAAAGAACCAAATATTTCATAGACTATGGAGTAAGTAAAATATAAAGCTACAAAATTTTTGAAATGAGAAAAAATATCAAACCAATCATGCTGTATAATAAGGCAATCATACCTGTCTCTATGAACTTTTCTTGCACAAAAAAAGAAAGAGTAACTAGGCTTTAAAAGTAATAAATAGAGAGTAAACATTTATTTCAGTTGGAAGATTTGACTAAAGCAAGACTGCTTTAAGATCTTGCATTACTGTGAAGTATGAAGTCACTTGGCAAAATTGTTTTTGAAGCTCATTTTATTTACACGCATGATAGAATTCTCAATATTGATTGAGTAAACTTATATTCACTTTTTTCATTTTGATTCAATCATTTATTATTTGCAATTTTTAGAGTAAAGAATAGTTCTCAAGGCTGCTATAATTATATAAAGGAAGCAAAATAAAATGGAAAACTTAAAAATGACTATAGAAGATTTTAAATAAAACTTATTGAAAATGTACATAGGACAGAATAATGGTAAGAAACTTTAATCATATTTTTCAGTCTTTTATCTCTGCATTGTTGATTGCTTGCTTAGAAAATTGATAATTATTAATTTAAATTATTACTTGATTTAAATCAAACACTATTCTACAGTTTAGAGAAGGAAAAAAGTAGACAATCGGTAAGTGTTCAAGAGCCAAATAGTTTTTTGCCAGACTGATTTGTGTACATGCTCTCTTCATGTTGGAGTTACTTATAAATTTGAATATAATAAGCTTTAAACTCGTCAAAGTAATTTTTACTCAAGCTACTTTCCAGAAGCATAATTTAAACTTTACCTGGCTTCTTTGAACTTTTGAAAAACTTCAAATGTTAAATCATCACTCTCTTTACCATTCCATGTTTTGATACTTTTATTCTAATAATTCTGTCTCTATGTCTATCGATGTTAGTTATGACCAAAGCGCAACAATTATACGACATGAGCAATTTAAACAGAATTTACTATTGTTTGGTGCTTTTTTTAATTCATTGAGACATTTTGCAAGACGGACTGATAATTTTTTATTCCCATGCCTACAATACGTGTCCCAAATTTCTGTCCCCTTACTTGCTCTACACTTGTTGACTGAAGCATGATAGTGACACGTCTAGTGAATGAAATGATCAGTGAACGAAAATGAGGTTTTGAAGCTTGCAACTGCAATAACAGCAAAGACAAGGTAATAAAGCGACACAAGTTATATTTTGAGAAACTTTTCACAAATCTATTTTCCTTGGCATGAATAATCATGAAGTTACTTCAAATAAACAAAGGAATTAGTCGCCAAAGAACTAAATTATAATTAAAATACTTCGTGTTTTCTTTTGTTTAAACTGAATAAAAAATGTGCCTATGCAAGTTTAATACAACAAAGAATTATTAGTTTTTCGATCAGTGTTGCATAGTGTCTATGCAAGTTCATTGCAGCAAAGAATTATTTTTTGGATCACTGTTGAATATTTGTACTTGGTTATTTAAATTATTTAAACTTCAATGGCATAATTGCATTTTAGATAATTAATCAGTCATGAAAAAATCTGTGAAGAAAAATTTTTTTTTCTACAAGGGAAGAGAAATATGTTTTTCAAATTAGTAGACTTCATTTACTTAAAAGCACTAAAATAAATACATTAGCTAGTTTTCGGCTTAAATTTTAGAAGTCAATTTTGCAATAAATACTGTTATTGGTGGCGATTAAATCTTTCGAAGACAGCATTGCTAGAAATGTTTCCAGAGCAAATGAAAACCACATTCGCAAGGACAAAAAATAAAATTCGCAAAAAATAAAGAAATGAACTCTGAAAAACAAGAAAAGATTTAATACCTTGAATGGGTGTGAAACGAGATCGATTGGAAACTCGTGGTAAGGTATGTAATTCGGGAGCAGTATTTTGTATTTCTTGTAAACCTGCTGTGGTTGGAATAAAACCAGTGGTTTTGAATATAGCTAAAGCTGGCTGAAATTGCTCACGACCGATTGCTTGCGAGTAAATCATCATTTACGAAGACGTTCCACTGCAGAATTGGGCATTCATTTGTGTGAAGGAGCAATTTTTTGACAAGAAGAATTACTCACTCCTCATTTTATTTTAAAAAAGGCAGATTATTAATTACTAACTGTCGGCACATAGTATTGAATCAGCTAATGAGTGAAATGAGTAAAATTAGATGTATCCACGTAATCTGCACGTAGGCATATTCTTATACAGCATTCAGCGTTAAATTGTGCAATATTGTAGTAATGGCAATTAAGAAGGACGGATTATTGGACAAGAACAATGCATAATTTGTCCCTCAAAGTAAAACAGTTTAAGAGAATCAGAATGACAACAGTAAGGAGTATTTGTAAAAAGCAGTTACAAGCAGTAATACACTAAAGTGGATTAAAGGTTTTGACTTTTTATGGTTTTTCAAAGCAAAGTGAGCCTGTTTTTGAGATCTAGAAAAGCTAGATAGATGTATGTCGCTAAATCAGCAGCGAAACAAGCAAAAATAAATGATTGAGCAGTGCAAAAATTTCTTCGATAGTTAGTTAGTTAGTTTGCTAAAAACACTTTATTTCAAAAACCAGCCAAAGGAATAGCAAGTCACTCCAAGTTAAGGGAAGTCTGAACATGTTTGCTGCTAAATTGTAGAGAAGAATGAAACCATATTTTCTTTACTCAAAGTAATCAAGTAAGTTAATGGTGCAAGAAACTGAACACAAATTTGCCAACACTAAAGTTGCTCGTTAAAAATGAACTTTTATGAAGTTAAGTAACTGATGCTGGCTTTTGTGTCATCGCATTTATGTTTCAAATTAGTTTTCCCGCTAGCCCACTTTTTTACCTATCAAATTTTAGCTCTCATAATTGCTGTTGACAGATTTAGAGATACGTAAAAATAACAACTTCAAAATTACTAATGAGTGAATTCTTTATGCTCACTTCGCATATATTTGCTTGTATTTATGTGTTGCTTGCATTCATTCACGTCTAATACAAAGTTCATATCATTGAAGTCAATAATTACTGAAAAAAAATCAAATTTCATCGTTATTCGATAGCTCTTCCTGTCACAAATTAGTTTTTTGATCATTTGATTATATCTCTTTTGATAAGTAACAATGTATGGGATTGACATACATGTATAAAAAGAAAAGTAGTAGTAATTGGCTTAGATCAAAAAATGTTGAATATTAATTCTGCAAAGATCATCATCACATTAGCAACAAACTTTTGATTGATTTACATAATTTAAATATTTTTTAAAATTTCAAATGATTCAGCGAGTATACATTGGCTTACAACTATTTTTAAACTGCATTTCTTCTTTCTACTTTTGGAACAATTTTTTCTATTTGCAACAGAAGTATACCATTTCCGAAAAAGTGAATGACTGAAAGTTGACAAATATAAATGAATAGAGTGAATTTCACACACACAAAGATTTTTTTTAGTCACTGCAATCATGGCTAGTTTGCTTCATAACAAATCATAAAAAATATAGACAAGATATTAGAAATGCTGAATTTGTATTTGATACATCGTATTCTAGTAGTCAACAATATCTGAATCATCCAGTTAGTTTGATATGGATTAAATATGAGAAAAAAATAGTCTTATTACTGCATTACAAATAATAATGAGCTGTGAATTTACTTTTCTATCAATATTTTATTTTTGTTAATTCACTGTATATTAACGTTTTATTCAAATTCAGATATACTGATTTTAATTTTTAGTAATCATTCTTGTTAAACCGCTTATTTATAGAAATGCTTCAATCTTGAGCTTATTGCTTATAATTGTTCTTATGGATGTGATTATCAACATTAAAAGATCCCTATGCTGTACAATTTTACTTCTTTCAGTCATCACAAAATCTTCCTGCTTTTAGTTTTAGACCAAAAATTTTTACTACTGGGAATTTTTTTTATCAAAAATCTGATTTTCGTCTTATTTCACAAAATAATTGACAAGAATAAAATTTCAATGATTCAATTTTAGTATGAGATAGGAAACAGTTTTATTAGGGGGAGCTTGTAATAAACTATTAAATTCTGAACAAAAAAATGATTCCTCTAGCTGCACATTAACTTTCATTACAGTAACCATTTTCTGTAACCAAGTGACTTCAATTTTGAAATTATAAATAATTAATGAATAAAATATTTATCACTGTTTCAATGCTTTATCTGTTTAATAGTATGATGTTGTAAAATAATAATCTTTGAATTTTTAATTATTAACATTTCTTTAAATATCATTTACTTATAGTACAAATCAGGTTGAAAAAAACTGGATAGAAAAGTGATTAAAATATTAAATGATCTATACAAAACATAAATTTCGAAAAAGACTTACATTTTTCTGATTCATTGGCCTCAGAAAAAATAACGACAACGAAATTTCTGAAGTATTTCCTTGCATTCTAATGTAATAATTCTGACTGTTCTACAACCATATAATCTGAGTTTTTAAAAAAATCATTCTCTCCAGTGAACGCGAGTTTAAATTCGCTTTCTCACATGAATGAAGTCAAGTGTTTCTTTTAGCCATAATTTAAGATTTAGCCATTCCACAATTTCAGTTTAATCTTGCATAGATTTCACTCTCGCTCTCCAAGGGTGAAATTTGCATAATGATCCCATAACAATCAGTAGCTCTTATAGTTCCGAATTGGCCTAACAAATATTACTTCTTTAGTTCTATGCAACTCATTATATCTTTCATTTTATTTTAAAAGTTCAGTAATTTTAGTTGTGTTGCGTTGCTTTCACTACAATGACAGCTTCTATTTTCCAATCTATTTCAGCTCCATTTCAACACATCTTTGTTTAACTCTTTAAAATATTCACAGAGATTTTTCTTTTGCAGTTCACTAGTACATTAAATCTGAAAGAAGTTCGCACAAAGGATTTCCACAACCTTAATAATCATTTTAAAATTATCCATGTTCACTCCATTCCTGTTATAATTCTCTTCCAATATTCTGTTCATTTATAAAGGAACAAATTTTTACAATATTTCAAAAAGTAAAAACAAAAATCTTCAAATATAAAAGACTGGAACAAAGCATTTCAAATGGAACTTTTATCAACTTAAGTTTGACAATCAACTTCATATCATCATTATGCATCATTCTTAAGTACTTCGAGACGACTTTTATGTTGAGGCAAAATTGGTTGAGTCCCACGCTTTTAATTTTTAAGCAAGTGAAAAAAGTAGTCAATAACTATTTTTCTATATTTTTACCAATTTTTCAATGGAAGACGACACATCAAGCACTATTACAAAATCTGAAATGACATGAATGTGATTGTTATTGTGATAATAAAAAGTTATGTTTTATAGCAGGTTGAAAACCGATTGCGCTTCAAATATTCTTGACTTGTAGAAATAAGATCATTAAATACAAAGTACTATAAAATAAGATTATTTAAGACAAAAAATGTTTATCACGCTTATAATATGAAAAATTTAGCCAATTATCATCAAATTTAAATTCAAATTTGTTAAACGTTCTAGTTTACTTCATATTTTTGACCCATTTCCTTCAAAACAGTGACAGGATTTTCGGAACGCTTGTATATTATGTAGTAGCTGATACATAATTTCTAAATCCGTGAAGAATAAAGCTAAAAAAGTAGGGTTCAGAGTATTAAATAAAAGAGTTATTTGTGATCTTATTGCTAAAAAACAAAAATAACAAAAAATAAATAAAACTTCTGAATTATCTGAAATATTAAAAATAAAACTTCTAAATAATGAAGTGGAAGAAATAATGAATGAAAGTGAGTTATAAAGGGAACAGAACTCCTTGTTGCAGTTTTAATGAACTTACTAGCAAACAACAGTTATCATCATGTAAGCAATCGATCTTCCAATATATACTTCCAATAATGTAAAAAAATAAAACTGATGTGAAGGCAACTTCGTTGAACAGACTATGGTGATATACTATACGCTCAACTGTTAGAACAGCACTTGTAGAAAAAATTTCGCTGATTTGTTATCAAGTGATTGTGATTTGAGAAAGTAATATGTTATATGTGAAGTGAATTTTACTCACAACAGACTTTTTCAAGCAGTGTTAAAAATTGAGTCCGAAATACTGTACTGCTTTGATGCGAGTGAAAAAAATAGTTTCAGTATGCTAAAAAAATAACAAAAGGAAGTGCTATTTTTAGCTTCTCATTACAGGACAAAGAAACCAAAGTTCTGATAAGTTATGAATATCAAAAGATTTTGGATGGTTTTTCAGAAAGAATGTTCTCTTTAATTTAATGTTTGCTTGCATAAGTTGAAATGTATGCTAATATACTATGTATTGTATATGTTCACTTCACATTTACATAGGCTCAAGACCAAAAAGGACAAATAAGTGATTAATTCGTATTTTATAAAAAAGTAACTTCTACGAAGCACTTGACCAGTTTCTCAGCCGACGAAATGACCTGTCGGTGACTCAGTTTGCTTCCATTTACAATTACAAATGAGTTTCAGCACAATAGAATTATCTTCGCTTCCTTTAAAGTGATAATTTCCGGAATCATTTCCACATCAAACTTGTACTATTTTCAGTATTTTATTATTACACAGAGATAGAAATAAGAATCACTGAAATGTCATGAGAATTTCTGAGTAGAAAGACAGTCTGCAACTAGTTGTCACATTGACAATTGACATATCAGACTTATTTATTTTTGGATGATTATTTTCAGAAGCATAACCTGTAGTTCAATAATCATAGAGGCTTTTAAGTCAGAAAAAGTGTGTCGATCACATTTTCTATCCTCAAAAATTGTCAAAGAAAACTTGAGTGAGTCAATTAATTATACAAGAGAAAGTTGAAGGAATGAGTGGGTAGAAATATGTTAAAGTGAAAATTCAGTAGAAATTGCTTCTTCCGCAGAAATTAACGAAAAACTAAACAGTTCAGAAGGTATGGTTTCCGCTGTCAAGTTTTCAGTTCTTGCTGTCCACATATTCATGAAAATAACATTCACATTTGT